TCTCTCTTATGTTGGAGCTCCTAAGCCTTTCTGGGTTTACTTCCCCATTTTGAGAATGGAGGCATAGGAGACTGTGAAAACCTCAAAATGTCTCAATTTCACTCTCATAATGAATTAACAGTCTAGCTAGATATCACATTCTAGAACAGTTGGATGATATTTTCCAATTTTAAAATTTAAAGGAATTTGAAGGCATTGCTTTACAGTCTTGTAGCTTCCAATACTGCTTAAAAGTCCAGAGCCATTCTATCTTGTTCCTTTGTGTGAACCCATTTTTTCTCTCCACAAACTTGCAGCGTCTCCTTTATCCTCAGTGTCTTTGAAATTTCTTGCTGCAGCATCTAAGGTGTGGGTTTATTTCCATCCATTGTTCTGGACAGTTGGTGGGGACTTTTTCAATTTGGAAAACCATCTCTTTCAAAGCTGGGAATTTTTCTTTCTTTGTGTAAAATTTACTTTTTTATTATTTTTATTTTTCAATTATAGTTGACAGTTTCAGCTGTAGCTGGAAATTTTTGTTGAATTATTTTGTTGCTAATTCCCTTCTTTTTGGTTCTGTTATTCTTTTTTTCTGGTATTCCCGATGTCTGGAAATTGGACTTTCATCCTTCCATTTTCTTATTCGTTCCCTATTTTCTTTTTTTGCCTTTTTGCTTTATTTTCTGAGATGTGCAGTCAATGTTATATACTAACACTGTTATGATCTTTTAATTTGTATTACACACACACACACACACACACACACACACACACACACGCCCGGTGCACGAAATTCGGGAGTGGGGGGGGTCCCCTCAGCCCAGCCTGCACCCTCTCCAATCCGGTACCTCTTGGGGGATGTCCGACTGCCAGTTTAGGCCCAATCCCAGGGCCTAAATTGGCAGTCACTGCACATCCCCCACCGGCCTGGTTGTCCCTAACTGCCCCTCCTGTCGGCCTGGTCACCCCTACCTGCCCCCTGCTGGCCTGTTCGCCCCTCACGGCCTGCTGTTCAGTCATTTGGTCATCCCTCACTAACCCCCCTGCTGGCCTGGTCACCCCACGCAGCCTGCTTGTTCAGTCCTTTGGTTGTCCCTCACTAACCCCCCTGCTAGCCTGGTCACCCCACACAGCCTGCTTGTTCAGTCCTTTGGTTGTTCCTCACTAACCCCCCTGCTGGCCTGGTTGTAGGCAGCCATCTTGTGAGGGCATGAGAGTTAATTTGCATATTACCTCTTTATTATATAGGATATGTATTTATACACACACACACACACACTTGTTATTGATCCTTACCCAAGGATATTTTTCCATTAATTTTTAGAGAGAGTGGAAGGGAGGGGGAGAGAGAAAAACACTGATGTGAAAGAGACACATTGATTGGTTGCCTCCTGCATGTGGCCTCGAGCCTGCAACTGAGGTACATGCCCTTGACCAGAATCAAACCCTGGACCCTTCACTCTGCAGGCTGATGCTCTATCCACTGAGCCAAACCAACTAGGGCTATTAAATTTTTAATTTTGAATAGCTCCTTCCTATCCTTTTTTTAAAAATAAGCATTGTACTTTTGTGTCATAGATGCATTCACTTTAACTCTCTTAGGATTATATAAGTCTGTATGTACTTAAACACTCTTTTTCCCCCTCTCTGCATGGTCTCTGTTGTCTCAAAATTTATTTTTTCTGGCTTTTTCCCCTTTGGTCTCTGTATATTAGAGGCTTTTCTCAAATGTCTTGTGGTTCTTGGCTGTCCATTTATATTAAAGTGGAACACTCAGAAGGGAACTGAAAGTTTGGTGCATTCAGGTAGCGTTTGCTGACTATGCACCTCCAAGTAGGATGATTTCTTTGGGTCATTTCAATGGGAAATTTCTTGGATGGTCCCAAAAGTCTCCCTATAAAACTCTTCCAATATCCCACCCTGAGGGTTTAATCCTGGATGTCAGCATTATTTTGGGAGAGAAGTTAGGGAAGAAGGATGGTGATCTCAACATCTGGATATCAACTCTTACTTATTCCCTTATTTTCAGCATGGGAAATTGTGCCTGGTGCTCATGTTCAGAAACCCTCTTGTTCATCCTCTCCAGAAAATGTTTTGGTCCTCTACCAGGGCTGGGAGAGGCAGAGAACAGAAATGGGGGGAAGCAATGAAGAGGGTAGTGCCTTAAAGGCCTCTTTAAAAGCTGTTCCACATTGCCCAGCCAGCGAGCGTGACCTATGAACCAGGAGGTCATGGTTCGATTCCCAGTCAGGGCACATGTGCAGGAGGCAGCTGATCAATGATTCTCTCTCATCATTGATGTTTCTTTTTTTTTTTTTAAATATATTTTATTGAATTTTTTTTTTACAGAGAGGAAGGGAGAGGAATAGAGAGTTAGAAATATCGATGAGAGAGAAACATCCATCAGCTGCCTCTTGCACACCCCCCACTGGGGATGTGCCCGCAACCAAGGCACATGCCCCTGACCGGAATCGAACCCGGGACCCTTCAGTCCGCAGGCCGACGCTCCATCCAGTGAGCCAAACCAGCTAGGCCATCATTGATGTTTCTATGTCTCTCTCTCCCTCTCCCCTCCTCGCTGAAATCAATAAAAATATAAAACATAGAAAATAAATAAAAGCTGTTTCACAAATCCTAGTTTAGCCTGACCTTTACCCCATCTCCAAAGATACCTGAAATCTCTGGTACTAATTCCTGAGTCCTGAATGTGGTTGGGTGGAGTGAAAATCAGGTTTTTGCTCAGCTTTCCCCAGTATCAATTTTGGATGCAGCTTTCTAAATCGGTCATCATCTAGCCACTTGCTTTCAGGCTTCCAAAATCTAGTTGCTGTTGTCTCCTTGTCCATTTGTTTGAAAGTTCCTTCACTCTGGTTTTAGTAGGATTTAGGGGGAGATGGGGTAAACACATGTTCAATCCGTTAAACCCGTCATTATTCACACTTTTTTAAAAAATTTTTTTAATGAATAAGAATACATGTTCACTTCAGAAAATTCTGCAAACTACCGAGAAATGTGATTTTGGTATGGTTGCATCCATTATTTTTTCCCTTTTGTTTACATCACTGACTTCATGTTGTATTGACATTTTCCAATTCTACATCATTAACTTTCCCATCAAAATTTCCAATAGGCTTTAGCAATCCCCACCTTAAGCAAACAACTATGGAACTATGAACATTCTCAATTTTCTAGACTTTTCCTCCTTGGTATACCGCTGGGTCTAGCTCAGGGCTGGCTTTGCAGCCCCCCTTGTAAGGGAGAAGACACATGGACAGACAGGTTATGGGCGTGTTTTGGGCTCTGGTAACTGCAGATTCTCAGAACAACTCTGCTATCCAGAGGCCAGGGCCTCTGGTTTCACACAGAGGTGTGAGATCAAGGCCAACCCTGAAGCACAGTTCCCATGCGCTCCCCACCTCCCTCCCGGTCAGGCTCCAAGTGGCTAGAGATGGTTAGTGGGACAAATGGCACATTCCAGCCATACAAGGCAGCCTCTGTGAGGCTGCAACTTCCCACAGAAGCTCCAGCCATGGATGTGCATGTGCCAGAACAAACTGCCCAGAGCACAGTAGGTGGGGTTCTTTGCTTTTCAATTCTGGCCCCAGTCTGTAGGAGGCCCACCTGTGAAAAGGGTATGACAAGTGGACAGAGGAAGGGGAGCGATACTCTCATTCCAGCCCTTGCAACTAGATGCTAGAAGAGCAGCACCTTGACCACAAGACCACACTGGAACATCCAAATCACCTCTCCCATACACTCATTCTTGGCCTCACAAGTCTTTTTCCTTATTTCTTCTACTCTGAATCTCTCTATTTCCACACAGCCCTTGTTTTTGGATGTAACCAAACATTTCATATATATACTTACTTTCCTCCAAGCAAAAGATCACTCTGTCACATGCCACACTTTGCCCCAACCCCCCATTCTCATCTACTTTTAAATTCATCTTTGTTGTCTGCCGGATTAATTCAGGAAAAGCCACTCCCTTTGATTCAAATCTCCAGGCAAATCTTGAGAGAGTAATGACACTATTTTCTCTGAGACATGCCAGCACTTATTTTTCCACAGGGTCTGTCATTTCCATAAGTGACCTTTGCTCTTAGTCCATGGGGATGACATCCCTTCATGTTTCATCTTTGGAGCCAGTTTATAGGTCCTAGAATCAATGACATTTCCTCAAAATAAAACCTGACTGTTGGCCCCAATGAGATTACCTTCCAAGATCACCAATGACGGCTGGCCACGAAGGACAAGGACCTGCTTCCACTGAAGACCTTCAAGGTAAGTCATGCAAGTCCAAAGGTAATTCCAAACTAGAAGCTCCCAAAGTGAACTACACACCATGAAAGCACCACAGAGTAAGTGCGCAAGCTACCGAATGCCCAGTGTGGAAAGGACGAGCCCCACAGAATGACAACAGCTGGTGTTTACTGGGCCATCACTACATGCCAGTCACCACACAGGCCCTACCTATTAGTACCAATCGTATTTAATAGATGAAGAAATGAGGCCTCCAAAAAGGCCGAGTAACTAAACTCATACTGCTGATAAGCAGACAAACTGGAATTTAAACAAAGGCAGCCAGACACTTGAGCCACATGGCCAGTCCTCTCTGCTGCCTCCATCTAATGCCCTGTATAGACACTGCCCTGCACACTGGAGGATGTTTCAGGTAAAGCCACGTCTGTCCCTAGTCCACTGACCAGCTACAGGATCTGAATGTGGCCCTTCTCCAGGGAGCTCTAGCATGTATGAGCACCCTGACAAGTGACCATCTTTCTTTCAGTTCTTGTTTTGTTTCCTGTAGACTGAGGTGACACTTAGTTATGACAAAATTCCCTGAGACAAGGAACCCAACAGCAGACCTACTTATCAGCCTGGTGATCAAGGAGACCCCAGCACCTGCAGATGGACCTCCTTCCTGCAGGCAGCTGGCTAACATATCTGACCAGGGTTTACACTGGATTATAACTCTGAAAGATCGAGAAGGCAGATCTCTGGGCTGCCTGGCAGCCACTCACCAGCACTGGGGTCTGCAGGCGGTTCGCCCTCCTCTGAGTCTTCTTGCTCCTGCATGGTTGGCCTCTCCCCACGCTCCATCTGTGACATGAGGTCTGGTTTAGAAATTGCATAGTCTGGGAAGAGGGAAGGAAAGAAGGTATAATATGGGGTGAGGTTGCACTGGATGCTGCCAATGTGTCACCTGTGTGAGTGTGATACCATGGCAGCTTCCCTAATTTGCAGCTAACAATGCTGAAAAAGAAATGAGCCAAGTTTCCAGCCCTTTTCTTGGGGCCCACTGTGTGTGTACATGTGCACATGGATGTGTGTGTTAGCCATGTACTATGTCCTCCCATGCGGGGTCCGGCAGTAGGGCTCTACCTGCCACCAACGAAAACTGGCTCTTTTGTCACTGTCACACCTGTTGTTCAGGTTTTTCATGACAAAGGCACAAGATATTTAAGTTTTTATAAAGTACAAAACTATCCTGATAAACTCTAGAAGCCATAACATAAAATACTGATAAATTTCCTTATATTAAAAAGGCTTAAAGTTATTTGGAAATAAAGTTAAAAGATGAAGAAACATGGAGGAAATATCATTATACACACACATTTGCCATATGTAAAGCAAATGGCTAATATCCATAATTATATATAAAAAGTCTCTACAATTAGTGAAAAATAAAAAAGCAAAGATAATAGGTAATTCATAGAAGAATGCAAATGGCCAGTAAACACATGAAATGATAAACAAGTTCACCAATCATCAAAGAAATACAAATTAAGATAATGAGGTGTCATTTTTCACCCATCAGAAAAGACAAATATTTATTTTTTTTATTTTTTTATTTTTTTTAGAAAAGACAAATATTTAAAATAGAAGAACATCAGTAGGGCCAGGGTGTGGAGAAAAGGCATTCTCACACACCATTGCATAAACATACAGGGCCTCTGGAGGGCACTATAGCAGTGACCATGATATTATTGTAAATGTGCACCCTCTTTACTCCAAAACCCACTTCTAGGAATCTGTGCCAGTGAAATACTTCTAAGTGCACAGACACACAGAGATGTTTTATGGCAACACTCTAACAGGGAGAAGACAGAATCCAGTGGTTGCCCATTAAATGCCCAGTGTTCATCTCCCCAAGCAAGCCTATGTGTGTTGACATGAAAAGCTGTCTGTGACCTGCCATTAGGTGAAATGAGTGAAGGATCCCATTGGTGCAAACCACAAACTGCATGTGCATAAGTGCAAGCATCGTGTGTTATGTCTGCATGTGCACAAAAAATATGGAAAACTGCCCTGACTGGTTTGACTCAGTGGATAGAGCGTTGGCCTGCGGACTCAGGGTCCCAGGTTCGATTCCGGTCAAGGGCAAGTACCTTGGTTGCGGGCACATACCCAGTAGGGAGTGTGCAGGAGGCAGCTGATCGATGTTTCTATCTCTCTATCCCTCTTCCTCTCCCTTCCTCTCTGTAAAAAATCAATAAAATATATTTTAAAAAAATATGGGAAACCACGCAGGCCAGTGGGTTTGAGGTGGTTACCTCTGGGGAGTGGTACTGGTGCGAGGGTGGGGGATGCTCTTTATTATATAAATCTAAATTGCTGATTTTTCACAATTACGTATGTACTTTAATAAGAAAAAACAAATTAAAAAGAGAAAAGTTATCCTATGAAGAGATGTGTATGAAATTACCAACTCTAGCAAGAATCAACATTTCGATACAACAGTGTGTTTAATATTTTTAAACTTTTTTGTGTGCCCAAAAAGTTCTCCATATCAGAGAAAAGAATACACATAAAACTATAGTTGTCTTAGGTTTTCATCTTTCAATATTCTTATTTAATGATATTCTTACTTAATGAAGACAACAATAATCCCTAGACTTTGGGGTAAGAGGGAGCTCAGTGAAACTGACTTCCTGGTGGGGACCTAGGACCGCCCTGGGTCACAGCCCCTCTCTACATAGGGGGATGGGAACCTAGGGGACATAAGCCAACAGATGACAGTGTTTGGTCACCTGAACAGTAAAACAGGAGTGCTCACCTCTGTTCCTAACTCCCTTATTGAGGATGAGGAGGATTAAGTAATATGATTCTTGTAAAGCACCTTACATTTGCTTAATAACAGTTTGCTGGACAAACTAATTTTAAAATATACATGTAGGGCCCATGGGGAAAATAATACAAGGTGAGAGACCCGAGATCCGAGTCTGCCTTCTCCCCTTGCCCCAGTGCCTTTTCCAGGACCACTTCATGAGCTGTCCTGATCTGGGATGTACTGATATACTTAAGTATATGAGCACCGGTTTTTCTAATCTCTTGTGTTCTCTAACATTCAGTTTCCCTTGTTCTCAACTACTGATAGTACTGGAGTTCAGAACTCCCAATGGTTCCAAATGAACCTCAAGCTTGTGTCAAGGCAGCCCCGGCGAGTGAAGCCCTCTCCTTACCCATGGAAACCAGAGACTCGTAGTTGCCCCTCATCACGTTCTTGTATAGCTCCTTCTGCCACTCGGACAGGTTCCCCCACTCCTGCTCCGAGAAATGGACGGCGACATCATCAAATGTGACAGGGACCTGAAACCACAGGACAAGCTCAGCTGGGACCCACTGGAGGGTTGTCACAGGTCCTCGGCTGCCAAATCCCAAGGAAGCAAATGGCTGCAACCCCCTGGCCTGGTTCAAGCACCTCTTCTTAGGTCCAGAGTGGGAAAGGCCCAAAAGCATGGCCCTGGGATGTGACCAAGGGGTCTAGCCAGGCTTGGGCCACTGTTCTGACACCACAGAGTAAGGACTTTATCTTGTCTGGTTCTTTTCCTCTCAACAGGATAGCTCTCACTGCTGTAAAGCCTGGTGTGCAGACCAGCAGCAAGAGCTAGGGAACTTGCTAGAAATGCAGGCTCTCAGGCCCCACTGTAAGCACACTAATCAGATTCTGCTTTTAGTAAGCAACCCAGGTGATTCACATACACAATAAAATTGGACAAGTGCTGGCCTCAAGAATATAGTCCAAGTTCTTTCCTAAAGGCTGGGAAAGGCGGCAGCAGCACAAAAGACTGGAAAGAAATCTGGTCCACATTCAGATTCTTACAGAATCTTCTGGAAAATAATATTAAAACCTAATGTTTGCCCTAGCTGGTTTGGCTCAGTGGATGGAGCACTGGCAAGCGGATCGAAGGGTCCCAGGTTCAATTCTGGTCAAGGGCAATATGCCCGTGTTGCGGGCTCAATCCCCAGTAGGGGGCGTGCAGGAGGCAGCCGATCAATGATTCTCTCATCATTGATGTTTCTCTCTCTCTCTCTCCCCCTCCCTTCCTCTCTGAAATCAATAAAAAAAATTTTTTTAAAAACCAAAAACCTAATGTTCTCTAGTGTTTTTAGGCTCCTTCTTGAAATCATATTATTACTGGCATTAACATGATTTATAAGTCAACTGATAAAAATGTTGAGTTCAGCCTAGCTGTGTGTGGCTCAGCTAGTTAGTGCACCAGGGGGTTGAGGTGCGATTCCTGGTCTGGACACATGCCTAGGTTGCAGATTTGATTCCCGGGTGGGGGCAAGTATGGGAGGCAACCAATTGATGCTCCTCTCTCTAAAATTCAGTGAAAACATAACCTCACACGAGGATTGAGAGAAAAAACAAAAAACATTGAGCCCAACCAAGCCCCATACTACTTCCCGAGTTCTCCCTCCCCAGTGGTGAATGGCTAATTCACACTCACGAGGACTAACTACATCTCTATACCTGGGCCTTTGCTCTGTGTTCTCATCCTCTCAGACATCATGGACTGAACGCCCTTCTAAATCAACACTTCCTGATCACTAGGACCTTCCTCTGATCTATTAACCTATGCTTTTATCAACAGGAGAAATAATTTAAGGGTGGTGTGTCCTGTTCTTAATAAAGCGATGCTGACAACCAACCAGGTATCATTATATTTTTTTCTTCTCAACCATCACTTTCCCCTTCTTTTACATTTAACTACATTCCTAAAACATATTCTAATTCAGATCACTCCTTGGGAGCCCCAGTTGGGACAGGGTTACCTTGGGAACTTCTCCATTGTTGCCTGGGGGCAGCCGCAGGATCCAAAAATTCCTGTTTTTCAGCAGGTTCTCCATGTTCTCCAGCCGCCTCTGCAGCAGCCCGTACTCCTGCAGCAGGGTCCCCAGCACAACCCATTTGCTCTCCAAGTGGTTTGCAAACTCCACAGCCGTCTTCTCACAGTCAGCTATCTTTTTCTCATTTGTCCCCGTCCGTCCCTCCAGCGTCAGTAGCCGCATGGCCTGGGCCTCTAGTTTCCTCTCCACCGCTTGGACAGCAGCCCACACAGCCAAGCGGGTGATCTCCGCCGTTGGGAGTGGCGTGTCCTTCTGGGCTGCAGAAGAGATGTGGAAGGGGGTTTCCTTTTGGGAAACTGGGCTCTGGAGCAAGGGGTCCATGTCAGCCTCGGGAACTGTGGGGGAGAGGGGGAGGGGGTCTTTCTCAGGAACTTCAGGGGAGTGGAGTGAGGCTTCCTGGTGGTGGGTGGAGTGAGAGAGAAGTGAGATTTCTTGTTCAGCAGCACATGGGGGTGGATACCGGGTCTCTTCCTGGGAAGTCAGGGGACCCTGGAGCTGTGTCTCTTGCTCAGAGGCTGCAGGGTACAGGAGTGAGGGTGCCTTCTGGAGGATGTGCGGCATGCGGCTGGAGGTCTCTTGCTTGGGAGTGAGGGGTAAGGAGCCTTGCCGGGGAACAGAGGGAGACAAAGAAGGCATTTCTTTGGGGGGAAGAACACGGGACTGGAACAGGGCTTCTCGGGGGAGTCCAGCAGGGGCCTGCCGTGGCGTTTCTTCTGGCAGGACATTGGGGAATGACAGAGGCGATGAGCGCTGGGTCTCCATGTCCAGCTGTTGGACCTGTTCAAGGAAAGGGCAGGAGTAAAGGCCAGTCTACAGCTAGCAAAATAAATGCCAAAGATACACACATTAATAGGGCACTGACAGCAATGTGTTCTGTGGATATGAATCTTCCTGAAAACCTAGCACTCATTCAGACATCAATTACAAAACCATTAACAACAAATAGAAGATGGTTATGCCACCTTCTTCTCTTCATAGAGCCAGTTCCTTTTTCACAATATACTTTTCATGGGTACCATCTTAGGAGTTGTAGTGTTGGAGAGGAGAAAGGGTACTGGTCTTGAATTAGAACACGTGGCTCTCAGGCCTGTCCACACCTATTTCTGCCAATGTCTTTCTGGCCCAGTCATTTTACCCCTCTGTTCTCAGTGTCCTCATCCATCAAATGCGACACATCCTGCTACCTCACTGAGTTGAGCATTCTTTAATAAAATAAAACCCTGGAAAACGACAGAGCAGAATTTTGTCAATGCCAGACATGGTTCCTATGCCCAGACTCCCAGCAAGGTGGGAGGTGATCTCAGGTGGGGCCAGTGCTGTCAACTGACCTACCTCACAGGTAAGTCATCTGGCCCCCTGCTTCTACTCGAATTGTCAATGGTGCCCATGTTCTTTTTCCCACTTTGTCCAATAGTGAAGACACACAATGACCTTAAGTTTTACCGACCATTTGATAAAAGCTGAATTGTTGACTTACCAATAAAATTCTTTAGAGTTTTATGGTGTGGGTTGGCTTTGACATGTTACATGGACACAGCCCCTACTGGAGGCTGAATGGCCTTCTGGACATTCCAAGCTGACTTCTGCTCTAAGCAAGGAGACTGGCAGAGGCATGGCATTTCAACACTCCTAGGGAGGTCCCTTGGGCAGATGGTCTACTTCATGGTCTGGGTTCCTCCCTATGGTTTGTGAGGTGGGAAACGAGGAAGAGACCTGCCAGGGCTGGAAGCAGAGCTAAAGTCTGCCAGTTTTGTTATGCATGTCAAGATTGGAGGGGATGAGAACCCAAATAAAGACCGATTCCTTTTGGGATTTCAATTAGTCATACTCTCCCTGTTCCCCACCTTGACACATCCATGTTGAGAGAATTCTTTTGTCATCAGGGATGTGAAGCCAACATCTGCATGATGAGTTCCCCATTTACCTATCCAGACAACCAATAGCTTTACTGAAACTGAACAGAATCTCTCCTATAACGTTTGCCCATTTCCTCATCAGCTTCCTTCAATGAATCTACCAAATGCCAATTACTATGCACCAAATACTAGGGATCTTTAAAGTAATTGAAATCCCCATTTTCTTTGTTTGAAAATTAACATATCCCTTGTATCCAGTCTGAGATATAGTACGTGCTTAATAAATGGCTGGTGAATGAATAAATAGTATAAACTGTTGAGTTATGAAAAAAATTATTAAGGTAAATAAAGTTCCTTCAGTCTTGTATCAAAGGTCATCTAAACCTATTTATACTTCTATTACCATCTTTCTTTTCTCTGTTCATTCATTCACTTATGAGTCGATTAACTAAGACACTATCACATTTGTAAGCCAAGGATGAAAGGCGTAAGACTTTATTCTGGCAAGAGAATTCGGAGGTAGTATGATACAACAGCTCTATAGCTAACCAGACAGACATGACAGCTATTTGTCGGGAGATGCCTAACGATTACTCCACATTTATGTTCATGAATTGTGTTAAACATTTTAAAAGGTTATCTCATTGAATCTTCAGGAAACCCTATGAAACAGGGACTACTAGAATTGTTACCCACTCTTTGCACATGAAGACCCTGAGGCAGAAGAGCCTAAGTAATTGCCCAAGGTCACAAAAATGATCTGGCTCCGGGGCCCGGGTCTCAGTTCACACTAGGTCACCCCCAGGCCTTATCTATCAACAGAGGCAGCTGGTTAGTGCTCTGAATCCTTTTCACCTCTGCGATTCAGAAGCTTGGAGGTTAAACAAAGATCTCTGGGAGGTTCTATGGTGGGGGAGGTGGATGGCCCTTCTGGAAAAGACATTGCCATTTAAAGCTGGGGTCAGGGATCCCTTTGAAAACCTAATGAAAGTTGCGGATTCTCCCCCTCAAAAAATGCACATGGGCACATACACAAAATTCTGCAAAAACTTTCAAGGGGTTCACAGACCCCTAAAGCTGAGGGCCCGTCAACAACTAAGCCACCTCTCAACTCTTCACTCTTCCCAGGTGAGGGCAAGACTGGACGGCCCTCTGGGACCGGAACCTCAGACACAGGGAAAGTGACTAGGGTAATGCAACACAATAGGCACATTATGGCCCCATCCTCTGAGGGGATTAGGGCATTTGCCTACAAGTAGTAGGAAGAAGGGAAAATCCCCTGGGGGCCAAGTTAGTCTCCCTGAGTAATTCAGGGGTTTAACCAAAACAATGAAAACAAGCCCAGTACAGTAAATAAATCCAGCAGAGTAAGACATCTTTACCAACCAGTCTAATCAGAGCTCAAAGGAAAACACCATTTCTTTGCTTTCTATTATTAGACTGTCTCTCTCCATTTCCGGATTTGGAAGACTATGGAGGGATGAGGGGGCCACAGGAGCATGTCCCCTCCAATGCCCCCAAATAAAGCCCCCTTGCTATCTTCCTATAATGGCTTTATATTACCTTAAGCAGAGAGAAGTGGCCCAAGAGAGGGATGTAAATATTACCTCTAAGATTAATAGGCTGTATTCTCCAACTGCAGGGGAGACAGAATTCTTCTGGACTGTATTGTATGGGATTTAACTGTCCCTCCCTACCCCATGTCTCCGGAGTGAATGGGGTCTTTAGGATTCATGGCATGTTAGCAGAAACATACATAACCTTACATGTCTGATTTATAAAGAAAGCTGTGCCGTTGTGATGCACCCAGAATTATATGGGGCCCTGCAGACCTAAGCCTGGAGGTAGACATTTTTAAATCCTCATTTTATATTATTTTTTACAAAGAGTTTGTTATCATCATTTAAGAACCGAGAGGCTCTTTAGAAAGCCATATATCCTGACCCCTTCCTGTGCACAACGGGAAACTGAGGCTCGGAGGCACACAGGCGCCCATGCAGCGATCCCCCCAGAGCCGCTGCCGCACCTCCAAGAGCAGGTCTGCGGGGAGGTTTCCGGGCAGATCGTGGTGACTGGCCGCCGGAAGAGTCACATCAGCCCCCCAACCCTTAGGAGCTCGCGCCCCAGACCCCATCCGTCTAGACACCCGAAGTTCGTCCCGGGCCCTCCATACGCAGAGGCTGGAGGCCAAGACGCCGAGCCCGAGGGGCACAACACCGCCTCCC